CAAGTTGGAACTCTACAGTTTGTTCTGCGTGTTTCGCGCGGTGTGCGTTTATACCTTGGCATCACCAACTTCACGGTTGAGGTCGATGCGAAGTATGTTAAAGGAATGATCATAATCCGGACCTCCGCCAAATGCAACCATCAACAGGTGGATCGCAGGTATCCTTCTATTTTCCTTTATGCTTGTCACGTACGCTACCAAGCATACCGGAGCAGAGACTCTCAAGGAGACCGCGCACTGACAATGATCCATCCGATGATGATGACCATGAGGATTGGCTTGACCGCTCATATTCCTTTGCCTTTGAAATCCTGAACGATAGGATATACAAAGTGGAATCCGTGGGGATGGAATCATTTGTGTACTGCACCTCGTACCCGTACCATCCACGCTAACCCGCTCACCTTGTATCATTGAATGTCTAGCTTCCATGCCGCAAACCAATGAACCGTGCATACCTCACTCTGATAGCGCGCGAGCACAAGATGAAAGGATAACCAAAGTCCAACGGTTTCTAGAAGATCGGAAAAGACCCACTGACCTATCGGACAAGAGTTTTGAAACTTTCGTATCCTACGCGGTTAAATTTTTCCTATTTGACAACAACCTATGGCAGAAGCATTTCCTAGGCAAGCATCAATTGGTAGTACCAGAAGTGCGGTGCTTTCAGATCATTAAACAAGCGCACCACGATCTCGGACATAAGGGAGTATTCAGTGTTAGGAACCGCCTTCTTTTACGCTTCTGGTGGCCTAGGATTACTGACGATATCAAGTGGTACAACCAGACATGCCATGAATGTCAAATCCGACAACTGCGCAAGTTAAAGATACCTCCTACCGTGCCCATTCCAGGCGGAATCTTTAGGAAAGTGCACATTGACAGCATCATGATGCCCAAAGCAGGCAGATTCGATCGCATAGTTCAAGCGCGCTGCACGCTCACCGGATACCTGGAATGGCGGATGTTGCGGAAGGAAAACACCAAAACCCTTGGCATGTTCATATTCGAGGAGATTCTTTGCAGGTGGGGACCTGTTACAGAGATCGTTACTGACAACGGGCCCACGTTCATAGCAGCCGTAGACGAGTTAGCCGCGCGCTATCGGATACACCCTATCTGCATATCACCCTACAACTCTCAAGCTAATGGTATAGTAGAACGACGTCACTACGATGTCTGGGAGGCCATCATGAAAAGTTGTGAAGGGGATGAGTCGCAATGGTACCAATGCACGCATTTGGTATTTTGGGCCGAACACATTACAGTTCATCAGGCGACGGGTCTAACACCTTACTTTACCATTCACAGTGTAGAACCGATCTTTCCATTCGACCTTGTGGAGGGAACATTCCTAGTAGCGCTACCCAGACACATTCAGTTCACTACAATGGACCTTATTGCATGGTGCACATGTCAACTTCAGAAGCGACAGGAAGACCTCAACGATATCAAGGAGAAAGTCCTAAAGGCTAGGTATAAGCCAATCCACAATTTCGAGGAGCAGTTCCACGACTCAATCAAGGATTATGATTTCAAACCGGGTTCCTTAGTGCTAGTGCGCAACGCCAGGATCGAGTATGAGCTGAATCGAAAGACAAAGCTGTGGTATCTCGGACCCATGGTCGTCCTGCGCCGCACGAAGGGCGGATCATACCTTTTAGTGGAAGTTGACAGATCTGTGTCCAAACTTCGTTATGCAGCTTTCCACTTAATCCCTTATTTTCTGTGCAGCGAAGCTAAACTATCAGTTACGAGTATCACAGGTCTAAAGATGAAGCACTGAACAATCTAGCAGCAGAAGACACTGAGGAACCCAACAATGAAGAAACCGAGTTCAACGCTTAACCCGCGCATTCCCTACCATCTGCACACTCACTCAATCACCCACACTCTTTATCTGTGTTACTTACTTTCAGTTCCGTTCAAATACAAAAGAAAAACTCAAAAACAATACCTTAGTACGATAGCCTCAGTTTTACCCCAGGTTTCGGCCGGTGATCTCATCCTTTCCCTTTCCGATACTTACCTATGTTATGCGCGCCCTCGTGCATAAGACTCTTATTATATATCAAAGCACAAGACATTGTTCAAAGGACTCAAAGGACTATATTGCATACCCAATGATTTACCGTACATTTTTCTTCTAACACGCAGGTAGCGCACCACGCCCATTTATGTCGAAAGTCACTAGCCATAACCATCTGCGGCCGCAGGAATAGAGGAAGGAAGACGCACACCGAAGAAGACAAGTCGGACGGTACTCTGCAAACATTAGTATTGTTACCCGATTCAACTTCTAATGCGCACGCGCTTATTTTTACATTACTCATTCTTAGGCACACAGCAGAGCTAGGACCGGACACTGGACGATGGACATGGACAAGGAACCGGAACTTAGGATCAAACCGCACTACAGCCAAACCAAGAGTTCATTTAATGTGCGGTATTCTATATGGGAAAGGAAAGGTATCTACTGGTGGCGGCGGCGCTTCTTGTGGCGGATGCTGAGAAGGTCAACATCATTCATGACCTTACCCATCATAGCTTGGATGGTGGCCATCTGCACGTAGATGGAGCATGTTAGCGCCTCGGTCTCCAGATCCTCCGCATCTATGTCCTCCACATCACCTAACGGTTCCACCTCTTCCCTTCTCTTCTTACCTATGGCTCTTCACATATCCGTGGCATCTTCCTCATCCAAAACTTCAATGGTGTCGCGTGGGCAGCGGATAAGGACCCCCTTGGAAGGTCCGGGCACGGGCATGGACTCCGCGGTTGAGGCAGTACAGGCCTTCGGCCGCGGCAACGGCTTAATTGCGCGACCTAAGACAGAAGAGTTAGTGCAAAGTCAGGAATGATTAACGAAGGAAACATACCTTTTCCCTTATGCATTGAATGCTTACATCCCTGCCAAGCGGCCTTGCAGTTCTGGCAGACCATACCAGGCAGGCCTTGGCAGCGGACATCTTGCTTCACACACCGCTCGCATCGGTCCTGGTGAATGACAAGTGCAGGAGCGACACTCATCCGCGGTGTTTTCTAAAGAATTGAGTCAGAAAAACGGAAAAAGAGAAGAAAGGAAAGTTACTCACCTGCTTCACTGGAACCGTGGCCTTCTTAGGCGAAGCGTGCTTAGGGCGCTCCTCTTCCTCCTCCTCATCATCCTCACTCTCCTCCTCCTCATCCTCAGCCCCAGTCTCACCAGTGTTGACCTTGGCAGGTCCTTCTTCCTCAGCAGTGCACTTGTCATTGGCACCGGCAGACATCCTAACATCCTTGTCTCTTGCTAAAGTCTCCTCACAGCAACGTTCTTCTTTGGCATGCTTGGAAGCTTGGCACTTGGCTTTGGCTCTCAACATGTGAAGTTGCGCACGGAAGTAGTTGTAGGCCTCGGAACCATGGCGACCTTTCCCGGCTTCTTCAGGACTCAATGGGAACGAGAGACCAAAGGTCTTCCCGTCAATTGAGCACTGGTCAAGGTCGCACTAGGGAAGAAGAGTTAGTTGCGAAGATATGAAACAAAGTGATTGAACATACCATGATGCACTCCCATGAGTGGCACCATTCCTCCTTCTCCATCACCAACTCGATGCGATCCTCAGGAATAGTGTCTGCGAGAGAAGCCATTTGGACCCGAAGGTCAGCAAAGGCGTGTTGGAGCTTTTCATCCTGTGGGGTAACAATGTTATCAAAAGAAAAAGGCATGATGATGGTTAGATCAATGAAGGAAAAGATAAGATGGAAGGGCTGAGGGGATTTTTATAGGGAACCGCGACTGTGTCCACAATGTGCCCACACTTCTCTTCTCATTGTTCCATTTTAATTTCCGACCACACGCACCACAAACCTTATTTTCCTAGAGACCACAACGCGCGTTTCCATTCTCAGATCTCACGGTCATGTGCTCCTTCGAACAAAAATTTCACCAAGTCTATTTCCCGTGTACGCACTAACCGGGGACGGTTAGCATTTGAGTCTCCTGCAGATGTGACGCTCAGACCCACGCTGAGCAGGAACGAGTGTCTTTTGATACTCATGTCAAGGTCTATGGAAACTCATTGGATCCATGTCATTCCAGTCCTACTCTAGCAGTTCCTTCGGCCGATAGCCAACTGGCATACACCCACACTCAGATCTGTCCTCTGTCCATGTCCTTTCTGTGTCCGCCTATCTCCGTTGGTGCATGTTCATTTTCTCTCAGTTTGACTAAACACTATCAAGGGTTATTACATGTAACCGTGTATTCCGTTCCACACTCTCTCTCCTTACATATTACTTATCTGCCTCGTTTCATCGCTACAGTTCTCACCTACGGGTTCTGGATGCTCATGCAGTAGGATAAAATCTTGTGTGCTACATACAGTACTTTACTTCCCTTCCCTCAGACACTACCTTTGTTTTGCAGAGTCACTTAGACGTTCCTAGTATTATTAATCAATTGACAAGCCTTGTTCACTTCTCACTTCGAACCTGTGTGTTCTTGACCGCTCTGAGAACGTGGCTCTAAGTTTCCTTACCTAGACTCTGCGCGGATCCGAACCGCTCTCAGTTTCTGACTTAGCATTTTCATACCTAGTTATACCTCAGCCTCAAACCTCATCTATACCTAGCCGCTACTTGCGGAACCCCGCTTTACCTAGAAACCCATCGCTCTTTACCTAGAATCCTCTCGTTTTCGGTCATTTCTCATCGCGCACTCACTGGACCTGCGGTCTCGCTTTTGCTCTTACCAGCGAACTCGCTTTTCCAAGGTCGACTTAGTTCTTTTCCGTTCTGTGTTTGCTCCCTTCACACATTACTTGAAGGAAGTGCTTCATAGCAATCCTCTTGGGTCGAGATAGCGCACCCACACTCAGTTGGATTTATTAGTGCTCTAGCTTTCTTGCTGGCCAGTCACTATTACTTCTTCACACCAGGCCACCGGTAGTCTCGCTTGATGAGTTCTTCCGTCTTAAAGTGGCTGGGGTGTCCTGCAGTTGGGTGATTGTGGTGGAGTGACAAGATCTGGTGACAGAGTGATGGAGGGACATAGGCACAGTTTTTATAGAATAAGGTTCCATCATCAATCTTCCAATCTGTGAGTGCAGATTTCATAGGGGGGGCATTCAGCCCATCAAGGGCTTGTTGGGCAGCTAGGATGATAGGATCAGAGAGGGTCAGGGAAGAATCCTTCAAGGACTGGGCGAGGTCGGTGTCGAGGATGTAGACGAACAGGGAGTTAGGGAGGAGCGTGACATCACTGTTGTCCAAGGCTTCAGTGGAGTGGTCAGGGCAGTGGGAGAGTGCGTCAGGGGTGGCTAGTTTGCTTCCTGCAACGTGGTGGAGTTCTAGGTCAAATTCATTCAAGGTTAGTTGCCAGCGTGCTTGGCAGCGAGTGAGGTTCTGGGCGGAGTGGAAATAAAGGAGGTTCTTGTGATCGGTGAATACTATCACAGGGTGGGGGTTTCCCTCAAGGTAATGCCTCCATCACAAACATCATTGGCCTACTGTGGTGGTCTGCTATCAGCACTTTTTCAGAGCAATTGCTAGATAAACAGACCTAAGAATCAATTATGGTGACCATAGTATTGAAAGAACTGCCTTGAGGATTCACTTGTGAATGGGTCCAGTGGAAGTGCATCTCACTGGTCTTAGTCAAGCAGACAAAATGCAGATAAATGTACCTCGAGGACTCACTTCTGAATCATTGGGTTCATTGGAAGTAAATCTAACTGGTTTTAGCCAAGCAGTTGATACAACAGAATCTAAATCTGTCTGTGTGGGTTCAAAACCTGCTAAAGATGTCATTGTCAAGTGATCACCAGAGTCAAAATCTGTTTCTCTTGGAATGCGCAGGTTTGAAACCTGCCAATGATAAAATTTATTTTCTATGAAAACACATCTTAACAATTGTCTCATGAGTGATTTTCTCAAAAACTGATCTCAACTGATGTTAGCCATGTCATTGCCACAATAGATTCACAATCTGTTTCCATTGAAGTCTATAGGTTTGAAACCTGTTGAGTGATGCATTTTTTGTATTAGAACATGTCTTGAATATCTGCTCAAAGACAGCATCTCAAATGTTGATCTTCATTGGTCTTAGTTGAGTTGTCACCAGAGTCAAAATCTGTTTCTCTTGAACTGTGCAGGTTTGAAACCTACCAATGCTAACATTTTTTATTTATTCTAAACCAAAAACCCAAAAATCTCAGATCCAATGCTTTGGCATTGGACACTGTTTCTCACTCTCAGAATTTTGACCTCACACCCATCAGGATCTGACTGCTGCAAGGAAGCGAACTGAGTGGAGGGATACTATGAAGTGTGCAGGGTGAGGATATGAGAGCCAACAATATGAATGTTAGCATATTTAATTGAGCATGTTGCAATATGAAAAAAAGTGTGTCATCTGACGTGTTTCAATGATGTGGCTAAGACCATCTTTAAATGAGTTTTTGAGAAAACTATCTATGAGAAAATGTTATGATCTGCACGGTTCAAGAGAAACAGATTTTGACTCTGGTGGCAACTTGACTAAAACTAATGAAGATCAGTGTCTGAGAGAGTGTCTACGATTCAATATTCAAGACATCATCTTCTAATAGAAAAAATGCAGCATTCAATGGGTTTCAAACCGTCAAGGTGCATTTTCATAAAATAAAATAAAAGTTATCATTGGTAGGTTTGAAACCTGTGCAGTCTGAAGAGAAACAGATTTTGACTCTGATGATCACTTGCAATTTTATCTTTAGCAGGTTTTGAACCCACAGAAACAGATTTAGATTGTGTTGTATCAACTGCTTGGCTAAGACCAGTTGAATGCACTCCCAATGAATTCATTCATAAGTGAATCCCAGGTGGTTGCCAGAGTCAAAATATATTTCTCTCAAACTAAGCAGGTCTGTAATCTGTTACCTTGCGGAGCAAGGTCATGTTGGATGGCAGATAATCTGTCAGTCACCTGACATGAACATCATGCTGTGCAATAATCGAAAATGATAGAACTACGTCAATATGAATACACAAAACTACTTCATAAAGTATCCAAGTAGCTACTCAGAACTTGGTCTCGATGAAATACAGTCAAACTCTGAGCTCGATCTCGATGTCATGATACAATTTTAAATTAGTGATGTTCCGGCCCGGCTTAGGCTCGGCTTGGGGGGGGGGGGGTTAGGTTCACTAGATTTCAAGCCTGAGCCGTGAGCCCAAGCCGGCCCAAAGCTAGGGCTTAGGCCCATGCAAGCCGCGGCCCACATGCTGAATTGCGTGTAATTGATGTCCAAGCTCCACCATGCTGTTCCCAAGACCATGAACACCATGCGCAAATGCCCAGCACACGTCAGCACACGTCAGCAACTGCTGATGTGGCTCAGACGAATACGGACGATGGATGAGAGCAGGAGAAGGGAAGAAGACAAGGAGGAGAACGAGAACAAGAGAGAGGAGATGGACGATCGGTAGCACTCGAGTGCTTCGATTCTGCTCGCCCGGAAGAGTAAGTGCTGAATACTATAACTCGGATACCTGAAGTGCAGCGTCGAAGAGGGATGTATTTCGAACGGTCGATGAACCACTCGCCGACTTTGGATCTAATTGTAGGTTGGGCACCTAGACCACAGACCAACCAAAATTTCGTAACACATCGACCTTGAAATGTCTCGAGGGCCAGGCGGACGATGATCTTGTGTTCCATTTGAGATCAACGGATCTCTTTCGGTCGCCATTTCGTGCATATGTAGTTGAAGTTGGGAGTCAAACTTCAAAGAGTGTCACACGATGAAGAGCCTCCCAGTTATGTTTGTGTGCAAGAGCAATCGCATGGTGCCCATCTGGAATACAAAACATTTCAGCAGATGCAAAAATCACGGGATGATATAGTGAGGATGGTAGAGCGCGTGAAGCCACATTGGTCTATTTGGATTTGTTGAACTTTCGTACATTTTGCGTGCTGTTAGTAGCCTGTTACGATGTTTTAATCGGCTTATCAAACATGCTCAAAAGGCAATATTAGGACCAAGCTGAAGACGACATCGAATATGCTAAAGGCCAACCTATTAATTGGCTGAAAAAATGACTTATCGCTGTGAAAATGAAAAACAAGCAGACTTAGGACTGCCGTCACACAGATTTGGGGGTCCAAAAACGATGAGTGTTGGAAGAGGTCGACAAGGCCGATTCCCATGAATTAAAAATTCTCCGGAGCAAGGTCATAAGTTCGCACAGCGAACCCCTAGTATAATGATGTGTATTGAGAGAACTGACAAAATGCAAATAAATATGCCTTGAGGATTCACTTTTGAGCGAGTTCATTGGAAGTGCATCCAACTGGTCTTAGCCAAGCAGTTGATAGAACAGAATCTAAATCTGTCTGTGCGGGTTCAAAACCTGCTAAAGATGAAATTGCAAGTGATCACCAGACTCAAAATCATGTTTCTCTTGAACCATGACAGGTTTGAAACCTATCAATGATTAATTCTTTTTTTCTACAAAAATATGTCCTGACATTTCCTCATGGTGTTTGAAATCTGTTGAATGATGCATTTTTGCTATTAGAACATGTCTTAAATATCTGCTCATGGACAGCATCTCAGACATTGATCTTGATAAGGAAATGTCAAGGTGTGATTTCATAGAACAAAAATGTTGTTAGTGGCAGGTTTGAAACCTGCACAGTTCAAGAGACACAGATTTTGAATCTGGCGACAACTTGACCAAGATCAATGAAGATCAATGTCTGAGATACCGTCTATGATCAAATATTCAAGACATGTTCTTATATGACAAAATGTGATGTTCTGCAAGTTTCAAACTTGTTGCGCTCCAATAAAAACAGATTTCAATTCTGTGATCACAGCCACTTGACCAAACACAACTGTGATTGGCTTGCAAGCAAACTGACCATGAGCAAATTTCAAAGTGTGTTTTCGTAGAAAATGAATTGTACCACTGGCAGGTTTCAAACCTGCGCAGTCCAAGAGAAACAGATTTTGACTCTGGTGATCACATGGCAAATTCATCTTCAGCAGGTTTTGAACCTGCGTAGACAGATTTAGATTCTGTTGCATTAACCACTTGGCTAAGATCAGTGAGATGCACTCCCAATAATGCTCATGAATAGTTTCTCAGACACAGATCTTTACTGGTCTTAGTCAAGTGATCAATAGAGTCAAAATCAGTTTCCATCAGACTGTGGATGTTTGAAATCCACCAACAGTGATGTCATTTTGTTTTTATAAAAAACACATCTTGTTATGACTCATGCCACACATGTGGCTTCCCTTTCTTGACTCATGCCTCCTGCACATTGTATTCTTACCATTGGTCCATTCCAAATTTTCTTGGTCTCATTCCCATTTTGACAATCCAACTGGTCTTAGCCAAGCAGTTGATACAACAGAATCTAAATCTGTTTGTGTGGGTCCAAAACCTGCTAAAGATAAAATTGCAAGTGATCATCAGAGTCAAAATCTGTTTCTCTTCAGACTGTGCAGGTTTGAAACCTGCCAGTGATAAAATTCATTTTTATGAAAACACACCTTGAAATTTGCTCATGGTCGGTTTGCTTGCAAGCTGATCACAGTTGTATTTAGCTAAGTGGCTGTCATAACAGAATCAAAATCTGTTTTCATTGGAGCGCAACAAGTTTGAAACTTGTTGAATGTCATCAGATTTAAAATCTGTTTCTCTTCAGCTGTGCAGGTTTCAAACCTGCCAACAACAATATTTTTATTCTATGAAATCCAAAATGGTGGAACTTGATGAATCACAAGTTAACGCAAAAGACACATATCATTATACAAATTACAAACCTGCTTAGTTCAAGAGAAATATATTTTGACTCTGGCAACCACTTGTGGAATAAGCACAATAAAGAATCTCAGACCTTTGGAAAGAATTATATTGTTTTGTACTTATCCTTCCGAGTTTGCATCAAGACTTTGGTCATATATTGAACTCTGTGTCAAAAACACACTGTGAGATCCTTCCATTGTCAGTTTTCACTCATGGACCCACCATGGTGGTCTGCTGTCAGCACTTTTCAGGGCAATTGTTAGATAAACAGGTCTTGAAGTTAAGAGCCCCAGCAGGAGTCTGTGTCTTTTGCAATAAAAGCAGTATAAAAGAATCAACAGTGATCATGCTATTGAAAGAACTGACAAAATGCAGATAAATGTACCTCGAGGACTCACTTCTGAATCATTGGGTTCATTGGAAGTAAATTTAACTGGTTTTAGCCAAGCAGTTGATACAACAGAATTTAAATCTGTCTGTATGGGTTCAAAACCTGCTAAAGATGAAATTGTCAAGTGATCACCAGAGTCAAAATCTGTTTCTCTTGAACAGCACAGGTTTGAAACCTGTCTTTTGTGTTTATTTTATTCTATGAAAGCACACCTTGACATATGCTTATGGTCAGTCAGCTTGTCAGCTAATCAGAGGCAGGTTTGAGCAGGATAAAAAAGAATCACTTCTGAATGTATTTATTGGGAGTGTATCCTAACTGGTCTTAGCCAAGCAGTTAAATACAACAGAATCTAAATCTGTCTGCGTGGGTTCAAAATCTGCTGAAGATCAATTTGCCAAGTGATCTCCAGAGTCAAAATCTGTTTCTCTTGGACTGCGCAGGTTTGAAACCTGCCAGTGGTACAATTCATTTTCTACGAAAACACACCTTGAAATTTGCTCATGGTCAGTTTGCTTGCAAGCCAATCACAGTTGTGTTTGGTCAAGTGGCTGTGATCACAGAATTGAAATCTGTTTTTATTGGAGCGCAACAAGTTTGAAACTTGCAGAACATCACATTTTGTCATATAAGAACATGTCTTGAATATTTGATCATAGACGGTATCTCAGACATTGATCTTCATTGATCTTGGTCAAGTTGTCGCCAGATTCAAAATCTGTGTCTCTTGAACTGTGCAGGTTTCAAACCTGCCACTAACAACATTTTTGTTCTATGAAATCACACCTTGACATTTCCTTATCAAGATCAATGTCTGAGATGCTGTCCATGAGCAGATATTTAAGACATGTTCTAATAGCAAAAATGCATCATTCAACAGATTTCAAACACCATGAGGAAATGTCAGGACATATTTTTGTAGAAAAAAAGAATTAATCATTGATAGGTTTCAAACCTGTCATGGTTCAAGAGAAACATGATTTTGAGTCTGGTGATCACTTGCAATTTCATCTTTAGCAGGTTTTGAACCCGCACAGACAGATTTAGATTCTGTTCTATCAACTGCTTGGCTAAGACCAGTTGGATGCACTTCCAATGAACTCGCTCAAAAGTGAATTCTCATGGCACATTTATTTGCATGTTGTCAGTTCTTTCAATACACATCATTATACAGATTACAGACCTGCTTAGTTTGAGAGAAATATATTTTGACTCTGGCAACCACTTGAATAAGCACAATAAAGAATCTCAGCCTTGATAAATTTGTATTTTTTCTACTTCCCCAGGTCATTAGGATCAAACTTGGAGGTTTGATGTGTAACCTGCTCTTCTTTTTCTTCAACCAAGTCAAGACCTTTAGAAAGAATTGGATTGTTCCTTTACTTATCCCTTCAAGTTTGCATCAAGACTTTGGTCGTGAATCAAAATAGTGTTGTTAGGTTTTTTATTTGGTATATGCATGGGAAGGTCTGAATTTGCCATACTGGTGCAGGAAGGCAGGGGTCTGAGTGAGGATAATGAATGACACAAAGTCAGCTAATGCTCAAAGGGATGTGCGATCAACAAAGACAGACCTTCTGAGCATGTAGAGTTTAAAAAGTATACAGACCAAAGGATCTAAAAGGGAACACTAATCCAGACCACAAAAGAGTGAAGCTTATAATAAAAGTGGATTCTGAAGGAATCAAACCACACACTTAAAGCTGAACAATGTATGAGTAAAAGTAATATACCTCAAACATTTGCTTGTAGATGGTTGTCTCAAAAACTCATTATAACCAGTCTTGGCCAAGTGGTTGTTGCAACAGAATTGAAGTCTGTTTCTCTTGAAATATGCTGAGTGGTACATGTTTTTGACCTGCTCAGTACAGGAAAATCAGATTTTAACTTTGATGACTCCTGAACTAGCAACAATGAAGATCAAAGTCTGAGAAACTATCCATAAGCAAATATTCAATTGAGCATGTTGCAGCATGAAAAAGAAATGCATCATTTGACTGATTGCAAATCTGTAGGCTTTGATTGAAACATATTTTGAATCTACTGTGGCAATGATATGGAAAAGAGTATTTATGATGGGTTTTGGAGAAAACTATCCATGAGAAAATATCAGATTGTGATTGCATAGAATAAAAATACAATCATCCGCAGGTTTCAAATGTGCAAAGTCCAAGAGACACAGATTTTAACTCTGGTGACAACTTGACTAAGACCAATGAAGATCAATGTCTGAGATACTGTCTATGAGAAAATGTTCAAGACATGTTCTCATAGAAAAAATGTGACATTCAATGGGTTTCAAATTTGTTGCATTCCAATAGAAACAGATTTTGATTCTGTCATGACAACCACTTGGCCAAATATAACTTTGATCAGCTTGCAAGTGAACCGACCATCAGCATATTTCAAGGTATGATTTCATATTCAAAAAATGTCACAACTGGTGGGTTTGAAACCTGCATGGTCCAAGAGAAACAGATTTTGACTCTGGCGATCACTTGATAATGACATCTTTAGCAGGTTTTAACCCACGCAGACAGATTGAGATTCTGTTGTATTAACTGCTCGGCTAAGACCAGTTAGATGCACCCCTAATGGACCCATTCATAAGTGAATCCTCAAGGCATATTTATCTGCATTCTGTCAGTTCTTTTAATAATATGATTGCCGCGATTGATTTTTTTTAATTCTACTCTTATCGCAAAAGACATTAGACTTCTTCTGGGCCTCTACTTCAAGACCTATTTATTCAGCAATTGCTCCAAAAATGTGCTGATGGCAGACCACCATGGTGGGCTGATGATGTAATGTTAGAACTGACAAAATGCAGATAAACATACCTTGAGGATTCACTTCTGAATGAATTCATTGGGAGTGCATCCAACTGGTCTTAGCTGAGCAGTCAATACGACAGAATCTAAATCTGTCTGCGCGGGTTCAAAACCTGCTAAAGATAAAATTGCAAGTTATCATCAGAGTCAAAATCTGTTTTGCTTGGACTGCACAGGTTTGAAACCTGCCAACAATAACATTTTTATCTTATGAGAATGCACCTTGACAGTTTGAAACCTATTGAATGCTGCATTTTTTGATTTTTCTTGCAAGACAGTCATAATGCCACCCAGACAATCAAGGCCTTCTGATTCATTTTAAGATTCATGTGGGAAATGTGAAGGTGTGATTTCATAGAATAAATATAAAAATGTTGTCTTTGGTAGGTTTCAAACCTGCACAGTTCAAGAAAAACAGATTTTGACTCTGGTGACAACTCAACTAAGACCAATGAAGATCAACATTTGAGATGCTGTCTATGAGCAGATATTCAAGACATGTTCATGTTCTAATACAAAAATGCATCACTCAACAGATTTTGAATCTATTGCAGCAATGACATGGCTAACATCAGTTGAGACAAGTTTTTGAGAAAATCACTCATGAGAAAATTGTCAAGATGTGTTTTCATAGAAAATATATTTTATTATTGGCATGTTTCAAACCCGCACATTCCAAGAGAAACAGATTTTGACTCTGGTGATCACTCGACAATGTCATCTTTAGCAAGTTTTGAACCCACACAGACAGATTTAGATTCTGTCATATCAACTGCTTAGCTAAGACCAGTGGGATGCGCTTCCAATGGATCCATTCACACATGAATCCTCAAGGCAGTTCTTTCAATAGTATGATCACCATAATTGATTCTTAGGCCTGTTTATCTAGCAATTGTTCTGAAAAATTGCTGATGGCAGACCACCACAGTGGGCCAATGATAGGGCTGGTCACCGTAACCATATATGGTTACGACCATACAAGTTACGGCAGCCTTACGGGTACTAACTGTATCATACTGTATGGCATATGGCTTACTCAAAATGCTTGACGGTACGGTGCGGGTGACTTTACAGATATACAGACAGCTATACAGACATACGGTCATGAAAAAAAAATCAAGCTACAGTACCAGCTATGAATATAGATCAATCGATTACAATGACATTATGAGCTAAGCGCAGCTGTTGCTTGACCAACATCAAAGTCCTGATGGTGTTAGGTTGCAGACTAGCACACTGAAGAGAAATAGTGTCACGGCCACCCGAAAAAATGCGCTCAACAGCGACAGTGGAGCCTGCATGATGTGCAGAACATTAATATACCTAAAGACAATAGTACTTTAAGCAGATTTGACTCACCAGGAATAGCTAGAATATCATGAGCCAGACATGAGAGAGTGGGGAATTGTGAGCAGCGGCCTGCCCACCATTGGATGGGGTCACACATATCGAAGTCTTCTGATGGCAGCCTATAATATTCCTCCAACTTGTCCTTCAAGTGTGTTAGCCTTTTTTTATACCAAGCCATGAAGTTGACTTTCTGTGGTGATCCAGGGACAACCTCTGTAGCTGCAGTGGTAAGCTGGGGAACAGCCGAACTAGCTTGTGATGTAATGTAGTTATCCTGATAGTATTGTCGTAACTGATCTTTCGCATCTTCCAAGTGACATTTGAGGGTAGCATCATCACCACAGTCGTCCAAAAGGCTTCCATACGAAATTTGGGGATCAAGAACTGTCAAGAAATGACTTGAGTCAGAAGTTTAATCCTGGAATAGACATGAGGAGACAGCTTACAAGATAACCATATATACAACGGCAATTCATCAAACTTTGTGTAATAGTCACTCAGTTTCCAATGGGCCTTGATGAGTGATTCCTTGAGACGAGGTGGCATGTTATCTGGCAATTCACATAGAGAGTCCTGTAGGGACTCTTGCAGACCACGGAAAATGGCTTGAGTAGAAGACAGCATTGAACACTTGGTTGTCGACCTTTGGGTGGTGGCTGAACAGAATGCTTTGAGCCAGTGTGAGACAAGCTGGATCACACTCCAGTCCTCAGGTGTCAACTCATAGCGGCAGAGATCCCGTGTTTTCGCAACAAAATCATCAATGACTTTGCGATAATCAAGCGCGCGACCTTGAAGATTTTGAGAAAATTTAATGAAGATGAATTAAAACTACATACAAAACATTTGATGAGTTGAAGACTACCTGGTCTTGACGTCAAGAATCAGCATTAGAGCTGTCTGCGGCAATGTATCACCATCCTGTGACTTCATTGATATGTTGACTTCTTGGAACCAAGCTTGGCGATGCTGAGGGCTGGAATGAACAGCATGGACTATCTTTCGTAACTGAAAGTGAACTGTTAGCAACTTGACTCTGATAACAAGCTAGAACTTGCCTTTTCAACTGCCAACAGAACTCGATGAAAATTGTCAGCGAGACTCGAACTCGTCTTCCGGTTGATCTTCTTGTCCAGTAATATCATTGTCATGCTCTTGAGTGAGTGGCGCAGTTACACAATCCTGATATGCATCATGGTTTTTGGTTGTCTTGCTGGCCTTTATAGCGCCAATACCTTCCTTCTAGTAGCTTGAACCAAAAACAAATTAAACACAGACACAAAAATAAGTGAAATTTGTACCACTAATGCTGAAAGATGTGTTGTATGAGGCAAGCACCATAATCGAGCCCGCTGCGCATTAAAAGTGATGCCTTCCTGCTCACACAACTCTTGCAGGACCTTGCACATGGTGTCATTATTTGATGCATTGTCAGCCATTATCGCAAGGACTCAACCCTTAAGCCCGAACAGATCCAGGGTTTCAAATACTGCTTGGGCCATATTTTCACCTGAATGCTCGCCTACAAGCTCACAGAAGTCAATGAGGAGTTCTTCTGTGTGGTGATTAGTGCAACCCTGAAATAATATTGAGGTACTATTGGTACTTACCGAGTTGCCAACCTTCAGTGATGTAGTGCATCACAATGGCCAAGAACCCATATAGGTTGCTGGATGTCCAGCCATCGAGTGAAATGCTAACATTACAGTCTAACTCTGCGATCATCTTTTTCACTTCCTCAACTGTCTCTTCCTCCATCTTCATCACACATTGTTTCATTGCCTGACAATGAGGAATGTGAAGTGATTGACATAAGTGCATATACTTGAGGAGGCGACAGAACTCAATCCTGTCGACCTCCTCGAATAGCTGATCACATGTGATCATCCATTCAGCAAGAAGTTGCTCAAATGTGCCCTGATCCCAGTTAGCTTCCTAGAGCTAGAACATTAGCATTACATTCAGTGAACAAGTTGAAAAATATACTTACAATGGCTCGTCGATTCTGGTGAACAAAGGCATCTACAATATTGCTTGAGGACTTTTCAAGCTTGAGGAGATATTTGGTGGCCTGTGTTGGGTCGAGAGTCTTCTTGCCAGGTGCAATTGCAATCTCATCTTCAGTAGGTGACTCAGTGTGATCCTTGAGACACAGGTATAGACAATACATAGCCAGAAAGTGTGTTTTGATATGACCAATAAGACCTGCCAGTGCCATTGAGAAGACAGTCATGTCAGAAAATGTCAGGAAGCTAAAACAAGATGCTCACCATTCAGGCTACTTCACATTGCCTTTGTAATGGTCAGAATTTTTTGCTGACCATGGTGACACTTGTAGTGTTTGTCGCCCGCATTTCCCTCACTGCCAAGAGCATTCTTTAGCACATCTTCATAAAACAGATAAATCAGATTGGTTGGTCTACGTGGCCAAGATTGTATTTAGTGTTGTCACTGGTCACCACAATATCCAGAACATTACCTTTGAGTGCTTTTTCACAACAGGAATTCGGCCTTGATGGTGACTGCGCACCACCATTATCTTCATCTTCAACTTCCTTGACTCGAGCTTGCTTAGACAATTGAGGTTCATTGGCAGCTGAAGAATTTCTTGTAGCCTTGCGCTTATATTTTGAGCTGGTTTTCTTGCGGAGATGACGTGCATTAGGATCGGTATTGCCACCACATAGGCGGGACAGTTTTCATAGGTAAGATCATTGCAAGCTGCAAAGCATCAGCAACAACTGCGAGTGATTAAGACAAGCTTACCTCCACATTGGAGATCTCATGGTCCTGGATGTCACTGTGCGAGTCTGAATCTGAAGAGGACTCAGAGCTGGACTTAGAGCCCTGAGTGAAATTAGCGTCATCAGCATCTGAGGCCTCCTCGATTGCAAGACATGAAAAATAATTGTCATTGTCAACAGGAATAGTTCATTTGGGACACGATGGGGATGGCGGGGATGGCATGAGGGCTGATCTTCATCTTTGCCCTCAGCTTGGATAAGAGCATTCATGCGCTCGACATTTTTTGGACGTCTCCCATGCCCAAGAACTTCATGAAAGTCTTGATCTACAGCAGGATTCAAACCAGAAGAGCTTGGGGAGGCCATTGAGCGAAGGTACATTGTCACAAAGTGAGAAAATACAAGTAGTAGATGGGGGAAGGGAGCAGCACTCGAAGGCCTAGTGCCAGTAGCCTTCAATTTTGATGCATGAGGCCCGTAGTAGTACCTGCTGAGAATCAGCAGTGTGTTCTTGACATTGGAAACATTAGAATATGATTGATTAGAGATTGTGAGAGAAAACATACCAGCAAGTTCATGATTTGTGTGATATTGAGGTACTGGACGCTACTGAAGAAGCTAAACAGTAGGGTCAGGAACAGGTAGTTGTCATTGGTGTCGAAAAAAAGCAATGAGGCTGCCAGGCCCACACTGCCTAAACAAGTCCGGCGGCGCAAAGCTTATCTATCAATGATTCATCACACATAGTAGTACTATGTAGTATGTACTTATTTATGATATTTAGAGCCCCATATGTCCCATATGATGGCTGCATACAGCCGTACACATACAGTGTTATATGGTACAAAAACCAATGTATACCGTAACCATCAACCTGAGTCAGAAGTGCCGACAGTACGGGTACGACTACCGTATGACGGTCCCGTATGGTCCCGTTATACGGCGTACGGTGACCAGCCCTAGCCAATGATGTTTGTGATGTATTTTGGATCAACAACTGGGTCATGAATGACAACCAACAATGGAAGGATCACATATGATTGGACTCAAGGAGGATGTTGGAAATTAATGTTAGAACTGACAAAATGCAGATAAATGTACCTTGAGGATTCACTTCTGAATGGGCTCATTGGGAGTGCATCCAACTGGTCTTATAGCTAAGCAGTTCATACAACAGAATCTAAATCTGTTTGTGTGGGTTCAAAACCTGCTAAAGATAAAATCTGCAAGTGAACATCAGAGTCAAAATCTGTTTCTCTTGGACTGCGCAGGTTTGAAACCTGCCAATGATAACATTTTCATTTTATGAAAAAATCAGACCTTGACATTTCCTCATGAATCATATATGTGTTTTTCCTGGGTGAACACACCTTGACATTGACTCATGTGTACTTTCATGTTGTAGCTCATGCTCCCAAACATCTGCTTTATACGGTGTTTGTGAATGCACTTTTCTGTGTCCAAGAACATCTCTGAGCTCCATGTGACATAGCTCCACATCCTGAGCACAAATGCCTCAAATCATGCTTTAGGGTTTCTATAGCTTTCATCCCGCTGCCATGCAGTACAAATGTGTATTCCATATTTGATCCACAAGGCTTCATTGATGCATGTCGATGAGCGTCTTGATGATCAATTGCAGTAAAATCAGGTCTTATGGCTTCATTACAATCTCCATTAAACATTCTTTTAGAATAGGATTGCAAAAACTGAGACCAGAGTCGAGTACTAAAGATGAGAAAGGTTCAAACACGAGGTGGGCAGAAGCAAGAAGCATGCATCACCTCACCTAATTTGCTCATAGACTAAACTCTAGGTTAGCCTCATACCTCAGCTATCAGCTGGAAAAACAAAAAAATTCTGCTGTAGAGACTCATATCTTTGTAGGCTCATAGGATCCATATTTACAACTCACTTTCAGGCTCAGTTTATACACCATTATCCTCCTAACATATTTTGACTCTGTTTCAATGTCTACTTGGCTAAGACCAGTGGGATGGAGCTCTCAGGAAAGTATGCATGAGTCAATGTCAAGGCATGATTTCATAGAATAAAAAATGTTATCATTGGCAGGTTTGAAACTCACAAAGTTCAAGAAAAACAGGTTTTGACTCTGATGACAACTTGACCTTGACTAAGACCAATAAAGATGAATGTCTGAGATACCATCTATCAGCAAGTATTCAAGGAATGTTCTAATAGAAAGAATGCAACATTCAACAGGTTTCAAACATGTTGCATTCCAATGGAAACAGATTTTGATTCTGTTATGACAACCACTTGGCTAAACACAACTTTGATGAATGTTTAAGCAAACCGACCATGAGCATGTGTCAAGGTGCATTTTCATAGAAAATGAATCTTATCATCGGCAGGTTTTAAACCTACACAGTCCAGGACAAACAGATTTTGACTCTGATAATCACTTGGCAATTTGATCTTTAGTAGGTTTTGAACCCATGCAGACAGATTTAGATTCTGTTGTATCAACTGCTTGGCTAAGACCAGTGAGATTCACTTCCAATGAACTCGTTCAGAAGTGAATTCTCAAGGCACATTTTATCTGCATTTTGTTAGTTCTTTCAATAGCATGGTCACCATTGATTTTTTTTATTCTGCTCTTTTCCTCTAAAAAATTACTAGAGGCAAATGCAAGTATCTTTGACGCAAAGTTCAATATATGACCAAAGTCTTGATGCAAACTCGGAATGATAAGTACAAGAGCAATTTAATTTTATCCAAAGGTCTTGACTTGGTTGAAGAAGAAGAGCAGATTATACATCGAACTTTCAAGTTCGATCCTAATGACCTGGGGAATGAGGAAGAATACACATCTGTCAAGACTGAGATTCAAAAGAGCCATCCGGTCATTATTCGCTTATGTGTAAGGTTGAAGTGCACTGTATTTGAGACCTTTCATCATCACGCTCCACTCCTCTCGCTTTTTGAAAGTGCTGTATTGCAGTCTGTATTTAATTCATCTGTTCAGCTGAGGGAAAACATTGTGAGTGACAGAGAACAGTAGACTTGCCTTGCAGATTCACTTCTGAATGTTTTCTTTAAAGATGAATCTAACTGGTGTTAGTCAAACAGTTGCTACAACAGGATCCAAATCTGTTTCAAATCTGTGCATGTGGGTTCAAAACCTGCTAAAGATGAAATTGCTAGTGATTATCAGAGTCAAAATCTGTTTCTCTTGGAATGTGCAGGTTTGAAACCTGCCAATGATAAAATTCATTTTTTTAAATAAAACCGCACCTTGACACATGCTCATGGTCGATTTGCTTACAAGCTCATCAGAGTTTATGTAAGTTGCTTCTGAATGAGTTCATTGGGAGTGCATATAACTGGTCTTAGCCAAGCAGTTGATACAACAGAATCTAAATCTGTCTGTGTGGGTTCAAAACCTACGAAAAATCAAATTGCCAAGTGATTATCAGAGTCAAAATTTGTTTCTCTTGGACTGTGCAGGTTTGAAACCTGTCAATGATAAAATTCATTTTTTTTAATGAAAACACACCTTGACATATGCTCATTGTCAGTTTGCTTGCAAGCTGATCAGAGTTGTGTCCAGCAAAGTGGTTGTCATAACAGAATCAAAATCTGTTTCTATTAAAGTGCAACAGGTTTGAAACCCGTTGAATGTCGCGTTTTTTCTATATGAACATGTCTTGAACATTTGCTCATAGACAGCATCTCAGACATTGATCTTCATTGGTCTTAGTCAATTTGTCACCAGAGTCAAAACATCTTTTCTCAAAGACAGTCTTAGCCATGTTATTGCCACAATAGATTCAAAATCTGATTATTCTAGACTGAGCAGGTTTGAAACCCACATGGTTACTTTTTTTTTTCATCAAAATATACCTTGAATGAACATGTGTCCATGGATGGTTGTCTCAAAAACTCATTATAACCTGTCTTAGCCAAGTGGTTGTTACAACACACTTATAGTTTGTTTCTCTTGGGCTTGGACTGTGCATGCATGCTTATAATATGCTGAGTGATAACCCCCAAACTAGGAACAAAACAAGAATCGCACAATCCCCACCCATTATCAACACACCCTAAGCAAACCTGAGGTAAACCAGGAAGTAAAGCAAGTATGTGATAATATGTAATATAAGGGTCCATGACATATACATATGGAATGTATGTGCATAGCACCAGAGATATTGTCAGAAACACAGAAATAGAATAGGAATATGTATTGAAGGGATATGCAGCATATAACCTGCAGGTGGTAAAGAGCAAGTACACAAAGCTGCTGATGCCCTCACTCACAGAACTTTGCAATTTTTGTTACACCTTCCAAGAGGTCACTGATTCCCTGATTGAAAAAGATCATATAGAGAAGGCCAAAAGGAACCATATGTGGCTAGCAGGTTTTCCTAGTGATATCCAAGTGCTCCTATGCACATGCCTAATGATCAAATTTCCTGACCATCACCTGCATGACCCTTACCCATTTGCAGATGTAGATGCAGCTGCCAAGTTCCTAATTCCAGGAATGGGTGTGGCAACCCCAGAAACTGACTCATCCCCAAGAATTTGTTCCAGGTATATGCTTCATGCATGAGCACACCAAAAAGCTTGACCTAGATCCCACCAATTGGCTATGACCCAAAGATCTTAAGCTAATACACTGGCTCATTAGAGTTCACAAACTTGCATTTGCTAGGTGTGCCTCAGAGCAGGGCCACCTCAATGAAACATATTTTTCACTCTATAAGATCCTGACAGTGCCACACACTCCATGGTCACAGTGCAACATCCCAATACCACCTACAATCACCAGCCAAGTCATTTGTATTATCAAGGAAAAGATTTTGTCAGGCATATATGAGCTGCCAACAGCCACCTATCACTCATGCTGGTTTTGTGTCATCAAGAAGGATAGCCATTCATTGTGCTTAGTCCACAACCTACAGCTGCTCAATGAAGTCACAATTTGTGATACATCACTTCTGTCTTTCCCTGACTTCCTAGCTGAAATGTTTGCTGGATATCCAGTTTATGCTATGTTGGATTTGTATGCCAGTTATGACCAGCATGCGCTTCACATAGACTTGTGTGACATGACTACCTTCAGGATACCCCTAGGGCTGCATCATTTGACCGCACTTCTGCAAGGACATGCTAACACTGTACAAGTTTACCAAGGCAATATCTTGTTTATACTGCAAGACAAAATACCCAAGCTCACATCGCCATTCATAGACAATGTGCCAATAAAGTCGGTAAAGATCCAATACCAAGATGTAGATGGTCCTTATGAGACCATATCTGGTAATCCAGGCATCTGCCGTTATATGGGAATACTGCATTGTCATTCACCGCATCCTGCAGTGCTTAGAAAACATAGGTGCAACAGTATCCACAACCAAGTTTGTACTAGCTGCACCATCAGCGACTATTGTCAGCCACAAGTGCACTTTCAAAGGGTGCATGCCTGATGAATATAAGATACAAAAGATCTGTGATTGGCCAGAGCCAAAAAATCAGTCACACATGCAGTGTCTTGCGCATTTTCATTTGTAACTTCTTGTGCATTGTGCGCCTGCTAATCAATTTGACCAAAAAAGATGTACCATCTGAGTTCGCCAAGGAGCAGTGTCAAGTAATGCAAATACTCAAGGACTTCATCATAGATTCACCCATGCTTTGGTGGATAGACTATGAAAGTGGTGTAGAGATACAACAATGGCTTAGCAGGGAACATGTAATGAACTCTCAGCCAAATATAAGGTGCAGTCTGGACAGCGAGTCTGGGTTCAGAATTCGCAGTTCAAAACTGCACGTGATGCTCACATGTGAGCGGGATCAGCCGACCAAATCTGTACCATCACCATCACCTTGCTGACATGTCTGATAAATCTAGTATCAGCTCTTCACATTCCCTGTGATCTCGAGGCACCATTGATGTAGCCTTGGCTGCCACCTCTGGAATCATCCACAAGGCTCCCACAGTCTGGTCAAAGGTGGAGGAAAGTACCTTCCTTGACTTCCTTCTACTCACCCTGCCTTCATCAGGTGATGGAGGCTTCAAGATGGCAACTTTCAATCAAGCATCTGCGGACCTCAAACTCAAATACCCACATCAAAGGGGCAAAGAGAAGACTGGTGTGGTGTGCAAGAACAAATTCACAGTGGTATGTTTCTATTGAATGTTTCAGTCAGCAATGTCATCTCATGTTTTTATAGCTCAAGAAAGTGTATCACACTATTGTCGAAATCAAGCGCACATCAGGTTTTATGTGGAGTAACGAGCATGGGGCATTATGGATTGAAAAGATGATGTATGGGCACATTTTACCAAGGTATGCATCTTCTAGTGCTGCTGCGGTCCGGTTCTCATTGGTTCGGTCCATGGTTCTCATGTCAGCCAGAACTGGACCGGTGTAGCACTTGAGATTGCGCTAGGCTTGTATTCAGCTATTTTCCAATGCATGTCAAATGCCCATTGCACACAAATCACTTCCCAATGTTATCCGACACTCACCCACTCAATCCAATGTTTATCCACTAAACCCGATGCTAATCCACTAATCCGATGTTTCCTGTGCATCAGACCCGATGTTTTCCCATGCACTTGTCCTCCCTATGTCTTGTCCTGTCATATCTATCCCCACTAGGTGTGCAGTTACTTGTTTTCACATCGCTAACATTGTAGAACACATTATTACATGTCCGCAGTACATCGTGTCTTATTACATAGGACATTGGACCCGAAAATCAGTGCTACTACTTTCGCCTATAGCACTCCGAAATTCTACATAGACACTATATATTTCGCATACCTTCTACCTATTTACTTACCTTTCTACCTCCGAGTAGGAGGAGGTCATCCAATATTAGTAGTTCTTAGCTGAATTCCACAATATCATCCATTCTTTATCCGAAACACTCCGAAACATCTCACAGTACCCCGCCATTCACTATCACCGACATTCATTATATTCCTGATACAAACCCGATGCAAACCTGACACAGCCTGACGAAACCTGCTAACCCGAAAACATAGGACCCGACATTTTTGATATTGGACTTGTAATTATACCTTCAGACTTTGTTTCCTGCACTTCGGATTATCTTCGTTTTCATATAACTGATTATTCTAATACCATACAGCAAGCCCCTCGGGTCGAACACACTTGTCTTGCAAGTATAGCAGACTAGGCTGTGCACAACCAAAACACATTTTTTCATATTGCTAAACACTTACTTCGTGTAGTGTCCAGCAATTGTTGTATCTCTACACCAGAAAACGGTTCTGGGTTCGACGTCTTCCCAAACCATTCTGAACCCTTGTCGACTTCGACTTCGACAATGTCAGCCTCAACGTCAAACCGTCGTCTTTGGGATTTGCACTCCTGATTAATCAGGCTACCTTTAGCATTTTTCAAGGTAAGTACTAACTAATCACAATTCTCTGACCTACTGACATGTACTTAACTATGTCAGACAATTATGATCCTCCTCTTCACTTTGATTGATCTCCTCAGATACTACCATTGTTCTGGGATACATCTCCTTGCTCCATGCACAAAACAAGCACCGGACAGCGAAATTGTGAGTTGTCTTCCCTGAAAATGTCTCAAGACGCATGCACTCTCAATGCTGATGGCTCCCTCAAGGATGCCTTCGATATCATATTCTACAATGATTCAGACAATAATGCACCACTACCGCAGGCCCCATCTTCAGCTCAATCTACTGCGAAGGATGCCTACTCCATTTTACTCCAGGCTGGATGCACACCAGCACTAGTTGCAGCTGGTTCGCAATGTTCCACTTGCACCTCAAAACCCTCTGCTCACATTCGGGATGCTGATAATGCAGCCACAGTGTCTTCATCAAGGAAACATCCATTATCTGACGCCACTGATACTCCAGTGCCCAAGAAAGCCACCATGTGATTTTTGTCTCCTCTGGACTCTGATGGTTTAGGTGTCCAAAAGCAAATGCACAGTGGATGTCCATACCATATTTACTCACATTTCTGATGGGTGGGTCTGCAACTTGTGCAAGTAAGTTATCCATCTATTTTTTCAACTGTTTCTTACTTTGTGTAAGGGCTGCTGGTGAACCTGGCTCAAAGCATACATTTCGCAGCGGCACTTCAACATTGCGGACACACATTGTTTGCAATAAAAGGACCCATTTTCAAATGTACAAGCAGCGCTGTGAGGCTGCAGGCATCACAATGCACTCTCACACAATTCCGCCTGAAGAAGATCTTACTGTGACGCAAACAACTCTCAATGCCAGCCTTATTTCGAAACCGCGCGTGTTTACCAAGGAGGGACTACTTGAATATATCATGGACACACCAGCCATGTTCTCCGCACTGCAGTTGATGAAGGCAGCCTATTGGAATGGACATACATCAGCAGCAGTAGAGGCAGAGGTGTATGCAGCTGATATGTAGTGACTAGCTATTCAATGTCGTGTAGATGCACTATCAATATTGATTCTTGTGCTTGAAAAATTGATGGTTCGGTTTGGGTTTGGACCAGAGAAAAACTGAACCGGTGTGTGCAAAGAATGATAGCTAGATGAGACGGAGTGAAATGGGGAGAAAGGGGGAAGTGGGGTAAAACTCAAATAGACCTCTGGATGCGAGTATAGATTCGGCCCGAGGGGATTGCTACTGAGAATGATTCCTCTAAGCAAAGTGTGAGGGGAAACATAGAAACTAGTAAGGGTAGCTGAAACTAAAGAGAACACAAAAGCTGAAGCTGAAGCGATGTGAGCGTGAGTGAGCCGCCAAAAATGTGATGTGATATGCATGTAGGTGAAGTGCCAATAAGATGCGATGCGATGCAAGTGCGAGTGGCTGCGATGTGACAAAACGTGAAAGCGCATGGTTAAGCCAAAGGTGGGATGCGAAAGAGGAACTGAAAACACGAGGGCAGGGCCGAGCGATGACAAGTGCCGAGAGCGTTGGATAATATAGACACATGAATACGAGACAATTGCTGCCAATAGAAGTGCACGCGCGAGAGAGTACCAAAGATTTTAGATTCTTAGTCAAGACTTGTAGTTTTGCATGTAAACAGGTGATGAATTCTGATGGGAGAGAGAAGTTACATAGAAATTCTAAGTATCTGATATATGTATGTGCACCTAAGCAATATTCAGAGCCAAGTAGGTAGCGAGATGTATGTAAATAGGGTCCATGATACATTTCATGAAAATATAAACAGAATAGCTTGGGAATTGTTGTTAGTCTAGTATGAATCGAGTAATATACGCACCAATGAACCAGCAGAGGATATGGATAGGACAGACAGAGGACGCTCAACAGATCCAAAGAGAAGCCAACGCTAGCCAAAGCATGCATGAGAGCCATGGCCGTTGGCCAACGATGGAAGACTTGCGTGCTATACCAAGGGTAGTGCACACTGTATTAAAACCAGAGGGACAACACAAAAAGGCCTATATGAGGCTGCAAAGACCATAGGTCTTACACCAGACCACAAAGAACAGTTCTCAATGGTCTGGTTCTTGGTTCTCATCCAGGAGCCTCTGAACCAGACCAACTG